TTCTGTAATCAGCTGTGCCTTCCAAGATCCTAGAGGGGTGCCACATGGTCTAAAATCAGAGAGTTGCACAAGCCTTGCTGATTCCATGTGGCAGATGGAGGAAGCAATTACACTTCTAACTTCTAAGTAAGAATTCAAAATAGCCTGTTAGATATCTCTGTGTCTCAAAGGGTCTTGTCCGTACTGTGCCCCTATGGGAGACAACCAACTTTTCAGATTTATCTCTTCCTCAATAAGAGAGCATTGGCTCTGTTATTCTCTCTTGGGGACCCTGACTCTTTGCTTACTCAGAGCCCTGTGACCCCCCTATATTCCTACTCACCCCTTCTTAATGTTCTGCAAAATGAAAGGCCTTCTAGTTAACACGACTCACCTCATTAGAAGGCAGGGAGGAGTACAAGTTTGGTAACTTGAGCATACCTTTGAGTTTTCTGTCTGCTCTCCCAACCCTAATTTTTCACCCCAAGCCTTTTATCCATCTTTTGTGCATAAAGATACAGTGCTCTATCCGAGAAGAATTCTTATATCACTTGCTGAAAGATTATACTCGCTCTTTCTCATCTCATCAAATTATCTTGTAATAAGTAGAGCCACTTTATTAACTCAATTTCAAGCATTGTATAGAATCCAGCACCAACAGGCTTTTTTTTTTTTTCTCAGTATAGGTCCAGGTAAGGATGTGCCATGGAAGGTAAACATTCTCTTCAGAGGTAGAACTAAAGTTGAGCATCAGGCTTTAGGCAAAGCAAATGAGGACACCATAAAGTCAGCAGCCAGTGGGTCATTTCTGTAAAAGACTCCAAAAGTTAATAACCAGAGTAATGAGAGCATTTGCTCATATGAATGCCACCATAATACACAGAGAGAACCTAAGGGGCTAAAGCAATTGCAGAAAATATCAGGGCAGTTCCAGACTATGGATAGTTATTTCATCAATTTATTATCAGAGACAAGAATACTGAAAAGAGCTGGTCATCCTCATGGGTGTACACTTTTCAAAATCCATGGCATTGTAAAGCCCAGGTGATCATAAATGTCCCTATTATCAGGATATGTAAACTAGGAAATATAATTGCATTCTGCTATTCTTAAAGTAGTACTCACAGTCCAATGTTTAAATGGAAGTAAAAATTGATGGTGAAGCATCTTTAGTCAGTAAAAGTTTCTTCATTAGGTGATGATGAATAGAATACATGCTTTGTTGAGGTGAGAATATTTCTTGCTTTCTCCACTGCTGTATCCCCAGGATAGTGCTTAGTACATAGTAGATTCTCAGTAAATATTTGTTAAATTAATCAATAAATCTTCCAATCATCAATCTGCCATTGATTTAAATACCTTCTTCTTAGAATTATCGATGATATAGGAAGTGGTGTTGAGATTATATAGCACAACTTCTCTGTGATCTCCTTTTTGCCTGTTGGAAGATGACTGGTATAAGACAGTGAAATGTATGGTCAAAACATCTGAGCAGCAGCTTGTTAAGAGCCCTCTTAGGAGATTTTCCAAAAAAAGAACTAGAGCTGATGTGGAATGTCATTTCATCTGGATTCAATTCCCTTGAAAGACAGACATGTGCCTTTTGTTTAGATAGAAAAGTAAGGACAAGTGTGAGCTTTCACTCAAACCTGATACCCTTGAACTGGCCTCATGTCAGCTGACTACAACACTGACATGTACAGAAACAGGGGAGTAGTCGTGCTGTGGAGGACAGGGCTGGAAGCCCAGGATTCTGGGGTGATTTCTACCTCGAACTAACCATGTGGCTTCCCCCCACCATTGTCTTTAACCTTATGAATCTACAGTTTCTCTATTTGCAAACTATCATTCCCTCAAGGAAATTGAGATAAAAGTGCCTATCTGTTTACCTTCTAGGGTATTTAGAAATTCCAAACAAGATGTGTTTATATCATTTCATTGATTGGAAAGTTGTATAAAAATAAATTGGAAATTCTGAATAAGGCTCAAAAGCAATCAATCAGAAAGAGATTAGAGACTACTTATGTTAATTTTGCAAAAGTAATATTGATTAGCAGAACTATGAACTTTCAAAGAAAGAATAAAAATAAAGAAAAAATTCATAATATCCTAAAACCAAGGGTAGCCCCACCTCCAAATGTAGATCCACACAGAAGTCAGCTTCTGCTGAATCAGTCAAGACAGAAGATATCAATAACCAAGACAATGCAAGCAGTGCTGGATTTTAAATTTGATCCAGATTTGAAGTGAACATACACAAGAAATGTTTTTATTGAAGTCATATATATTGCATCTTAGAGATGAGATCTGGAGGATAGCAGCTATTTAATGTTGAGCTTTCAGCTGTGTTTCTAGAGGCATCTTGAAAGCTGTAGGTGGGGAAGGCAATAATTCTCAAGGTACTGCAGTTGCTGCAATGCAAATAAATGGAACTTTTGTACTCTTTCGTATGTATACATATAGTCTCACAATAGGATTATCATTCTTTAATTTTTAATTTTTTTTTCTCTCAACCCTAAAAAGGGGATATTGTAAGACTAGCTAATAAAATCTTAGTATTCTGGCTTTTCATTTTATATCTGGTTTCATGAGTGCCCTTTAGGAATCTGTATTTGTAACTATAACAGTGCAGAGTGTCACTGGAGCCATACATGGGCTGTGTGTGAGCTATGTGCATTTGAGCAGTAGAGGGGACTGGCCTGAGGTTGCTGCCTGATTGGGATTTGCCTTTTCTCTTGATCTGCCGATCTGCCTGTGATCCCACACAGCACCTGAGATGGGTGTGGCTTTCCAAGATGTCAATCAACCCGCTGATCAGGAGACATCTCCAAGCAAGACTCCATCCTTTGAAACCCAATCCCTTGACTTATTTGGATGGAATATTCTATGAATATTGTGGAATATTCCACAATAAACAGGGGGAGTTCAGGTGTGCTCTCTCTCTTGCTTGCCTCTCTTGTTCCCCTTGCCCTCTTTCCAGTGTGGGAGCTGATCTTTGAGGTCGCAGAGCCATCCTGACCCCCACAATTGAGGAAAAAGGTATTTTCGTGTTTGTGTGGATTTTTCATTGCCAGCCCTGTTCACCCAGAGTGGCCTTACTTCTGTTGCCCATGCGGGATGTGGGTGACAGCAGAGTGCTATAATTCATGTCTTGAATTGTCTTTTAACACTGTTATGCATCATCAAACATGCTGAATATTTTGAAAGTTGAAATCCATAGATGTAATTTTTATTGCTTCTGAAATCGTGGGATATAATGAAAAACCAAATTTTTTGCTGTTGTTATTGTGAATTTACCAAATCAACTAGGATTTAACATTCAGCAAGTTGAAATGATGATTTCCTTGATAGCATTGAAAAATAGTTTATCAATTTCATTTTTTTTTTTTTTTTTGCTTTGTTGTAGTGTATTGCCCCTTGGAGATTTAGGAGACTTTTCCCTTCAAATAGAAGTTTAGAAACTCTTGAGTGCCAGTCACTCTGATGAGTCCCAGGAACACTGGGGGAAGCCTGACAGACATGGACCTTAGCGCCTTTTCAGTTTTCAGTTGGTACTTTTCTGTTTTTCTAATTCTGAGTGAAATACTCCACACTTCCTGGTTCCCACCATTTAGTCCACAACGTTCATCTGACCAAGGAATACCCAGTTCAGGGAATGGTGGCAGTGACCAGGTGATGGACCACACAGCTGACATCACACACATTAGCTTTGGTGAAAGGAGGAAGGGGGTTTGAGGTTCATTTTATCTACTGTTATTCTGCAACTGAAGTTCATGAAAAAAGTCAGAAGTTTTGCTTTTTTGATTAAAAAAAATAACAATCATTATAAGAACATTTGTAAAGTACAGAGTAAACTATGGTGAATAAAAATTGCCTTTAATTCTATTACCAGGGACAATTACAGTAGTTTTTTATATACTTCTTCTAATGACAAATTATATTGTATTTATATTTAAGTGGAAAAAACCCAATTGAAATTTTTCCCCAGGACATTGAGTATTTTCTAAAATATACTTTTTCAGTGACTGTAATAACATTTTGTATTATGTAGGTGCCAAATTATTTAACCAGTTTCTTACTATGACATAATTGTTGTTTTGTAGTTTCCACATTATAAACAATGATGGCGTGAATGTCCTTAAAAATAAAATTCATATGTATTAAAAATGATATCCTTTGTATGAAGTTCAAGGAATAAAATTTCTGAGTCAAGTGTCAGATGCATTTCAGGCTCATTAACAAATATTTAAATTAATTTAACATCCACTTTGTTGAACTGATATATCCTTTTATTAGTCATTTTCCTTAAAAAGTGTTCCTAGTTTTTCATCTTAAGTCTTTTATCTATCATAATTTAAACAATTGAATATTTGTTGAATTTGGAGGGGGGCAGATAAAAGAGAACCATAATACCAAAAGCAAAACACACCAAAATGTAACTGTACAACTGGGGGCAGGGAATGAATGAAAATATTATTAGCTAATGTCATTTTCCATTCCTTATGCCAAAACAGACTCTGACATTTTAGCTGGCATTTTTAGTAAAGTCGGGAAATATATTTCAAATGCAGGGCATAGGGTCTCTATGCTTTGTTCCAGTACACATCAATTGACTGGCTTTATATTTACTATAATCGTCTCTGCTGCATAAAATAGCATTTTAGAAAAAGAGGGTTTTTATGTTTGTTTAATTAGTAATACTTCACTTTGACATTATTTTCAACTATTAAGAAAAATATTCTCCTTGGGTATTTTCCCCATACAAGCTATTCGCCTCCCCCCACCCCCGAACATGTACTCCTCACTGTGCAAGCAAACACTCCTGGAATTATTTCTAGATAATTTCACAATTAATGTTTCAAAATAACAAAGAGAACTTGGTGACAATGAAACCGAGGGAATTTGGAAACAAATCTGTTGAACAGCAAGGGAAGGTTTTCTATTATTTATTTCTCTGTCTTAAATGGGGGAAAACAGACCCTATTCTGACATTGCTTTTTTTGCCCTTCCCCCCTTTTCAGTGCTCTGCGGAGGAGGTGAGAACTTTCTGTGCACCAGTGGGATCTGTGTCCCCCAGAAGCTACAGTGTAACGGCTACAATGACTGTGACGACTGGAGTGACGAAGCACATTGCAGTACGTGGTCTGCTGTTTGGGTCTGTTCTGGTGGACAGGGATTCTATTCAGGAGCCTAGAAACCCAAACCATTCCATTGTCAAATCCTGACAACTACCCACCTTTCAGTGTTTCATGGACAGTTTTGCTTTGCCTTTCTGAAGTGAACTAGCATGTTTACCTTATCCCAGAGTGACAGTAGTGTGTTTGCATGGTTTTATTGAGAAGAACTCAATAGCTAGATACTACATTGAAACAGATCAGTGACTGAAAAGTTCTTGCATAAAGTCTCCTAGAATTGGGAGAAGATTTTACATTTATTTTGTTTGAGTAAGGAATTTTGTTTTGGATTTTAAGTTTTCATGAGTATAATGGCCAATGAAATTTTTTTAAAAGAATATTTTTTATAGGATTTTTTTTTCCTGTGAACTAAAACACGATTCAAAGCATCTTTTTTAGATGCTTCTTCTAAATTGGATATAGTCAAAGGCATTAAACGTTCTCAGTTTACTAAATTGACTTGATTAGTTGTTTTGAATGAATTGAGGTCACAGTGGTTTGTCCAATATAGCTTTAGATTTCAAGTTATTTTGTACTTATGCACCAGACAGAAAAAGGGAAACTAACCTGGAGAATTACACTGCATGATCTGTATTCAAAACAGACCCATGTGTAATTGTGTTCTAATTGCTTTTTAATGGGTGTATAACCAGACGTAGTTAGCACGGGAAGAGTATTTTTACTTCCCATGAGAATCACCAAGGCTTTATAAGAGCTCCAGATGGCTGACCTTGATTGAGAGATTCCTCTAGTCTGTTTGCTGAGTGACCAACTCTTCTATCCGAAGGGTTAAGATGGTTCTTTGTCAGAATTCTGGACAGGCAGTGTATTATAGCAACATTTCAACTCAGTGATTCCCAAAATTAGGTTCCATAGAACCTGAGTCTTGAAACATGCTTGAGGAAAAAAAAAAAAAAAGTTTTGGTAAAGCTCTCAGAGCTATTTCTTGGAGAGTTTAAAATACTTGTTTGTCTATTAAACGTTATAAGAAATCTTGCACAACGACATTAATTTTGCTTAACCTGGTATATCCTCAAATTTTTCTTCCTCATATGAACTCTCACCTTTATTTATGCATTCATTTATTTTACATAGTACCTAGCATTCCATGGAACACCAGTTATGCCACACATATTTCAGGAAATGTTTTCAGTAAGACATTTGTTGTTTTACAATGTGGAATTCTCTCTTCAGAAAAAAAGTATGACATAATTTTATAGGAAAAACATTTTATGGGATATATATTTATATTGGGGAATATTTTGTTCTCCGTGGTTCTGAGCATGTTATTTTGAGCACATAAGTGCTTTCTGCTGTACTTGTTGAAATTGAACTTGAAGGGGTCACTTATCCTAACCACCAACAGGACAGGAATATTTTACCATTCTGGAAGGTATTTAGCAATGTCCTAGTAAGTGTGGACTTTCCTTATGAACATACTTCAGAAAGCATCTGGTTTGGTTTATTGAGGAACTACATCCCTTCAGAAAATTTCTGTAGAAAAACCCTTGGTCAGATATAGAAGGCTTCACATGCAATTGTCTCTGACCTTGAAACTACTGGACTAGAAAATATCTGGTGTCTTTTTCGGCTAACATTCCATATAATCTTTTGATTCTATGATCAGATCTTAGAACAGTGCCTGACAACACAGAGCAGGTGCTTAGTAAATGAATGTATATAGATTTTTTAAGGCCTCAAAGAAAATGTTTGCCAGAGGGGAAAATATAACTGCTACAAAATCTGCATACCTTGTACCATATAAAACCACATCTGTGCCCAAGTTTGATATTCAAAGTGTGGAATGTTCATGGACGGTACCATGCTTCTGTCATCATCACCTTGAAAGGAAAGAGTAGTGTGTGTTTGAATGAGGGCTTGCATAAAAATTGGAGCATGAACACAGCCTCACAGATGGTCAAGAGGGAGAAGGAAGTTTTGCTGAGTATGCCCAGTGAGAAGTAGAAGAAAATTCTAGTTTGTAAGGTTCTGGCAGGTAAACCGGCAGAGGATTGCCAGAAGAGATCATGCATATATGGATTAGATGCAAAAATGGTCTCTAGTAAGTACTTGTCTATTTTTCTGAAATATGGGTCAAATTAGGTAGCTTGTACAGTTTGTTGGAATTATTCATTTATTTTTAGTCATATTCAAAGGAAGGAAGGGAAGGGACTTATTTGTGAATTACCCAATCAACTTCCAGAAGCATTTTCCCTGTGTGATTTGATTTAATCACCAGCACTGGAGATATTATCTGTTGTTTCTTGTATGAATGAAGTGCCAGAGCTTAGGGTGATGAATAAATTTGGCAGGATTTGAAGTATAGACTTCAACCCTGTCTGAATATTTCCATATCTAATGCTGTTTTCTTTCAGTTATGCTACCGTGGACTTTTCCTTGTCATTAAAGTTTAGATTTGGTTAATGATTATATTCTGATCATTCATATGACAAGAAAATGCATAACTGTTCTGGATACTCTATTATGCTTTGAGAAGTAATTGTCTATTGTGACAGCACTTCAAGTATCTGTGATGTTACTGATTTTTCCCCTTAACTATTTTTGTCTTGTATGGCAGTTGTTTTCTTAAGTATTTATTGAATGAAAAGATTTTCAACCACCTGGAACAACTTTAGTGGTTTAAGGGAAAGATTTTTGAAACTTAAGAAAACTAAAAATTTCAAGTCCTGCAACCTAAAGCAGGCTATTTCTCTAACCCTGGCTTGTCTTAGCATGTAGGCTGACTGCAAGTTAGCATCTCCAGGAAGCTCTGCATCCAGGGATTCTCATTCAGTTGGTCTGGAGCTATACCTAGGCAGCAGTACATTTTCAAAGCTGCCTAAGTAACTGTAACATACAGCCAGATTTGAAACCACTGGACTAGAAGATATCTAGTGTCTTTTGTGGCTAACATTCCATATATTCTTTTGATTCTATGATCAGATAGTAAATGAATGTATAGAGATTTTTTAAAGCCTCAAAGAAAATGTTTGCCAGAGGGGAAAATATAGCTGCTACAAAATATCTTATACCATATAAAACCACTATCAAATACTTTTGTAAATCATTTGTTCTGAGTTTTGGGTAAAATTGGTGGATTTATTTTTGAAGACGGTGGTTACCTAATTATAATGAGTGTGCTACAGTATGGTGGCTAATACTTTAAGTTTTTGAGACAGGTTGCCTACATTTTTATCTTTACCATTTCCTGCATCACAGAACTTGGGGCCAGATGCTCAACCTCTTTGTGCCTCAATTTCATCAATGAAGTGGGGACAAAACTCTCTAGCATTGAAGATAGTATAATCCAGAGCACATAAAGCATGTAGAGCAATAACATGCAGTAACTCTCAAAGAGTATTAGGATTTATGGTTGTGATTATCACTGTTGGTTCTAGTGTCATCTTATTCTCTCTGCCACCTCCACCCAGCACCTCTCATTTCAAGGGTGCAGAGGATGACCACTGGAAGTCATGGGACTATTGCTAAAGGTTCAGGAAATATGTGGTAGGCGAGACATAAGCATTAAAATATGCACAACAATTTTAAAAGCAGAAGATATTTTAGAAAAGAGGCAACTAAATAGCACAAAATAAAAATTGATATTCCAAGTTATATTTCCAGGTCATCAAAATGAATATAGCTACTATGATCTTTTTACTAAATGGGATGCAAGTAAATGCTAGAAAGATTTCTATCAAAATAACCAAAAGATCTCATTCTAAAATAGAGGAGGAAGCTCCAACTGTTTGCAAAATCCACTTTTGTGTAATGGTGACCTGATTATACCAAGTCAATCTAACTATTGAATATTCTTGAATTCCAACTATGTGTGAAGCATGTTCTAGATAACCCAATAACTGAACTTTCTAAGATATGGTTTCTTTCTTCATGAGAATTTTAGTCTAATCAGAAAAATAATATGTAAACATAGGAACTACTAAATCTGGTATTTTAAAACAATAATACAAGCAATGACACAAAGTCAAACAAGATTGATGCAAACAAAAATGTAGTAGCACTAAGTATTATGAGCAGAAGAGGGGTGGAGAGATTACCAGGAGCTGGTTTAGTAGAGCAGCTGATGGAAATGGTGATACTAAAGCCAGGCCTTGCCCTTAGGTCTGTGTATTCCATAACAGTGGTTCTCAACCCTCTAGGTAACATTTTGCAATGGATGGAGACATTTTTGACAACTACAAGGATGAGGAAAGATATTACTGGTATTCAGTGGCTAAAGGCCAAGAGTGCTACTAAAAATCCTACAGTGTCCAGGGCAGCCATTCTCAACCCAATGAAGAATTTACCCAGTCCCAAATATCAGCAAGAAATGCAGTTGAACAACTCTCTTCCAGACTCTCTCACAGCTCTGATGTTAATGGGCTAGGTAATGGTAGGCAAACCATTGGACCTCTCTGGCCATCTCATAGCGACAGGGTTAGATGAAATGTTTTTTTTTTTTTTTTTTTTTGGTCCCATCTGTTTTTAACATTTTGTGGGTGGAAATTGAGCCTCCATAGTTCTTGAGTTGAGGCGACATATTTGTTTATGGAGTTACAGAGACTGAGCCAATTCAATGAAGCACTTGTTTAAAAGCCTTCTTGTTGCTTAGTTTTTAATGATAATTTTGAGGGACAAAAGTTCACATGAGTTTCCAAACTGAAATAAATATCAACACACAAGAACTTCAGAAAAAATGTTTTGCATCAAGATCTCCTTAACAAAAAAAGCGCTGTATGTAGAAAAACCTTAGGTCACAGAAAATTATGCTCATATTGAGCAAGAAATTTGGCGCAGCAAGCACCTTTTGAAGATTTTGATTTGTTGGCCTCAAGTTGTGCTGACAACATCTCTTTTCAGTTCAAATAAACATTGATCCCAATAAAAGGAGGCACTGTGATCTTTGTTATTTGCTGTGTATTTCTGGCTGTGCATTGCCTCCGGTGAAGGTTTTGAATGTTTACTAATCACACAGACCTCAGGGAAGTAACAAGTTGTTTTCCAAATCCAACTAATTTTGTGTCTAACTTCTGAAAATGGCTCCTCACCAAGGAAGTCATAACAGTGGAAAGTTCAATTTGCACCTGTGTGAATAATGAGGATTTTAAAAAAGCCTGTTTCCTCCCCATTTATAAAGTAATTTAATAAAAACAGCACTAGTTTTAAACATACGTCCAACGAGGTGCGTTAGAATGAATTAGTAGGGGTGCAGAATGGACCTCAAAGAGCACATATAAACCTTTGAAAATGTTTGTCGTGTTCTCTTGTTAATCAGATTCTGAAAGGAGTATTTGATTCCCCAGTATTCCTATCATCAAAACACATGAGGTGCACTGCTTAAATAGAAATTTAACTCATATGGTTAAATCTGCCATTCCACCCCTCACAACTCTGGAGGGTGCATGTATTTTTGCACCTATAATCAAGTTGGAATACCTTATTTTTCTGGTTATCATTAATACTAACATTGATTCAATCCTTCCAACAAGAGTAATTTAGATTAAAATAGAAAGAAAAGTCTAAAAGACCTTTTAAAACTTTGCATGGAAATGGGTATATCTCGATTCACAAATTCCTCAAATTTGCCCAGTGAAGATGAAAACCAATGTCTTAACCTTTCTGGACTCAGCTGTCAGTCATCTCATTCAGCAGTGGGTTGCAGGTGGGAAGATCATGCCCTCTGCTGAGGGGAGGAATTAGTACAGTCAAGGCCCATAACTAGGACCTCTTGGTTCTTGTATTTTATCTTAATGTGGCTCTTAATTTGAGAAATCTTCAGGCTGGGAGAAGTAATGAAGTAAAAAGTACTTATAAAAATTCTATATGTGTGTAATTGTGAACATATGTGCATTTTTTCGTGTGTACATACACTTATCTCACTGAAGATGCTGCATGGATGATCTCTAAAACTCATTCCTTTCTAAAATGATGTGATTCTAAATTTTTTTGAATTGTTCTTTTTAGAATGCTTTTTTCTGAAATAGATATTTATGATTCATGCATATATAAATGTAACATTTTGATGTAGTTAATATTTTAATTGATCAATGTCAAAGACTTCCCTGCCTCTGACTTAATAACATATTTATGGGGTGCAATGTGATAATTCAGTAAATACATGCATCCAATATATCAAATCAAGGAATTATCATTTTCATCTTATCATCATTTCTTTATTCTTAGAGCCTTCAAACTCCTCTCTTCTACTACTTCATAAAATGTATAATAGGTTGTTGTAAACTGTAGTCACCCGTGGTGCTACAGAATGCTAGAACTTGGAAGCTAAATGATGGGAGCCAAAGACTTTTGAAAATAAGTTGTCATCCAGTTGGGATGTTTATAATAAAGAGGTGCCTACCACCAGTTGTGTGAGATACAGGAGGACAAACAGCAGCTGGAATTCAGTAGACTGAACAGTGGAGTAGAGTGATCTTCAAATATAGCTCCCATTCTCATCTTTCTTTCATTTATTTTTGCTGTTCCCTGTACTTGACACATGATAAAATTCTCATTCCTGTCCCACCACTGAAATTCTGCCCATCTTCCCTAATTCTTCTCCAGATGTGTACAACCTATGCACTTATTTTAAATAAGGGAAAAGAGAATATAGTTAAATGACATTAACCAAATTATGTTATGTGTCTGTGACAATGAAGCCCACTATTCCATATAATTATAATTTACCAATAAAATCTTAAAATAAAGAAATAAAATCATTTTTAATTCCTCAGGGGAAAAAAGAAACCTAGTTAGTAACAAATGTGGGCTTCTTTACCCATATTAATGTAGAACATTTTACAAGTTTTTTGAGGTATAATTTATATACCATAAATTTCACCTATTGACTTTTAGTAAATTGATAAGAGTTGTGCAGCCATCACCACACGAGCCCTAGAACTTTCCCCTTTCCCTCTAAACTTCCCTCCCACATATCTGCAGTCATTCTCCCTCCAGACACTGGAAACCACTGCTTTAAATTCTGTATCCGTAAATTTGCTTTTTTCTGAAATTTCGTAAGTGGATCATATAACATGTAGTCTGGTTTCTTTCACTTAAACATTTTGAGTTTCATTAATAACTGTCACATGGAACAGCGGTTTGATTCTTTTGATCTCTGGATAGATTCCACTGTATAAGCATATTATATTTATGGTTCATTCATCTGTTTGTGAGCATTTGGATTTTTTTCCATTTGGGGGATATTTTGAATAATGTTGCTGTAAACACTCATATACACGTCTTTGTGTGGATATGTTTTAATTTCTCCTGGATAGACTCCTAAGGGTAGAATTCATGAATTAAATGTGTGGTAAGCTGTCAGAATGTTTTCTGAAGTGGTATTATTATTATTTTTTCTCCCACTTGCAAAGCATGAGAGTTTCAGTTTCTCAAAATCCTTGCCAGTGTCTTGGTATTATCTACCTTTTTGACTGGAGCCATGTGAGAGAATGCGTAGTGGTATCTTATTGTGGTTTAAGTTGACCTTTCTTTAATGACTAATAATGTGGAGAAAATTTTTCCATTTGTAGGTCTTTCATGAAGTCTTTCTTTTCTAGTCTTTTGCCCACTTGTAATTGGGTTGCTTTTTGTCTTTTTAGTGGGTGTTACTATTCTATCTGTATATAAGTTCTTTATCACATATGTGATTTGCGGGTGTTTTTCTAGTTTGTGGTTTGTTTTCTCATTTTCTTAATGGTATTTTTTTTTAATTGCTGGGCTTTGGGTATCATATCTAAAAATTTTTGCCTAATCCAAAGTTAAAAAAAATTTCGCCTGTTTTATTCCAGAAGCTTCATGATTTTCACTCTTACTTTTAAGCCTATGATCTGTTTTGAGTTTTGAGTTAGTTTTAGTGTATGGTTTGAGGTGAAGGTCAGTGCTTTTGTTCATGTTTGCACATTTGGTTTCTAATTGTCCTAGTATAATATATTAAAAAGAACATTCTTTTCCTATTGACTTGTCTTGGCACCTTACATATATTATTTTACTAAAATGTTCTCCCAGACCTGTAAAGTGGCTGAAATTTTCCCAACTTCAAACTAACACACTAAAAGTCCCACAACTAACAGACGTTAGAACCGGGTTAGGAGTTCAGGTCTATCCAATAGATGACCTTATCTTGTATTAAGATTGAGAAACTATTTCCCTGCAGGTACTTGTTTCAATATTAAACTACAAACTTCTTAAGATTACACTTCACTTATTCTCATCTTGCTTATTTAGGACAGTGCTTATTTATTTGAGGATCAGATGTTATGCAACATTCAGATAACTTAAATAGTAATGTATATGCAAAAGAAGTAACAACTCTGTAATCTAGTGGCTTATTTTTTTCTATTATGTTTATGCTTACCATTGACTGACCTAGACTTTTACTGTAAATGAAACACTTTTAGGAAAGCACTACTCACCCCAGCCCCTATTAAAATCTTTCATTCTGCATGAGCATGAACATAAATTTCACTAGGAACCAAGGTGAAATGAGAATGACCTTTCTCATCTTCTTTAAAGGAATAACATAGCATGGAAATCACCTTCAGAAGGTGATAGAAGTACTCCGCTCAAGACTCGGAAGGTCTTTAGTCCTGGTTCTACAGTCTCTTGTTCAGTAATCTTGAGCAAGTCATTGGGTCTCTCTGTGCCATAATTTCCTCACCTGTAAAGCAATAGGTGTGGACCAGTTGTCATCATTGTTCTCCTACCATGATGGACTTTTGTTAAATAAAGTTCTATTATAACATCTGCACATCCCCGGTAACACATTGGTAGTTTCTCTTATTTGCAGACTGCAGTGAGGATCTGTTTCGCTGTCACACAGGCAAATGCCTTAATTATAGCCTCGTGTGTGATGGATATGATGACTGTGGGGATCTGAGCGATGAGCAAAACTGTGGTAAGTAGCATTGTTTCCCTAAAGGTTTTAATTGCAAATCACAGATGTTTATAACCAAGAACCTGTAGCTCACTCTTTGTTAATATGATTAGCAAGTTAAATTATAAAATGTTTGGTTTCTTGTAATTCCTAGAAGGAAGAGTTTTGTTCAATCAATCATGCGTATAAATGTAATACTTTTTATATAAATAATCATGCTAAGGAAATGTTAATGAATGGGGTGGAAAGATGGGTAAAAGTTGTTAAAATGATAATGGATTTTCCTCTGTGTTCTATTTCTCCTCCGATTAGAGCCAGTGTCTTATGTTTGGATCCTGAGCTCTTGAGTAAAACTTTATAGACAGATTGCAAATTATTGGATGTGATCAAAGATGCCTCCTGCATTTGATTCCCAAGCGCTACTCCTTGGGTAGAGGCCACTCCTAGGGTTAGGATGACACATTTGTTTCAACCACAAATGCTGATATTCTTATTTTTTAAAGAACCTATCCTTTAAAGAGCAATGTTCAATTCTAAATGCCATCTCATAAATTTAAACCAGCAAAATTATTCTTGCTTATTTACCTTTTCAGCTTTGTACTTTAGAGTTTTTAGGTACCACTTTATTGGTTGACTAAAATAAGAACTTTGAACTAAAGGGCAACCTGAGGTGAGAATGGACAATGAGAAAATGATGTGAGCCAGTGTTCAGTGTTAGAGAATGTTGAAAGGAATATTGGAAAGGGACCAGGAGTATGATCAAAGGAATATCTTGGAGTGATAGGTGTCAGAAGTGACTCCATGCTAGGAATGTTGGTAGTTTCTAGGAACATCATCTGACTACCCCCCTCACTGTATTTAATAAGATATGGAAAAACTGGATTGTGAGTGTAGCTCAGTGGGTGAGCACTTGCCTAGCATACATGAGGTCCTGGGTTCGGTTTCCGGCATCACACACACAAATTGAAATATATGTATGTGTACAAAAAATCCCATGAGTGGCTAGATAGATATGGATTGTTTCCTGGGTCTGACTAGAGTTAGACAAAGGGTGAGATTGAATGCATTCTTATGACTTAGAATTGCGTTATACACATCATAGAATCTACAGTTTCGAGGAGCTTTAGAGATCATTTAGTCCAATCCCTCTTTTTTCCAATGAAATAAATGGAAAAATGTGGGAGTGAGGCAGTTCATGTAGTTTGGTGGCTGGATAGGTTAGTGGAGAGGGCCAGAGTAGTTAGTGTGTAAAAAGAAAACTCATCATCTGGAGATAGGAGATCATGACTTGTGTGCCCTGAAGCTGGCAGTTGTTTTCATCTAATGGCTGTAATTATGACCTTCCCTCAGATTGGTCTCTGCCCTGGCTCCCTGTATCTAGTGGACTGTACTTGGATGGCTTTTCTGGTTCCTAACCAAGCATTTCACCTTTTGTATGTTTCTTTTTTTCTCTGCACTATGTCTTCTACGTACTTTCCTTCACTGCTCCAAAATACCCCAATGTCAGGAGTCTATGACAGTGGCTCTATTCATGGAGACTCACAGGCTACTTTCCCATACTGAATCTGCTATTCGTGAATCCACACACATCTTTTAACTTATCTTTAGGTTATACACATCACATTGCAAGGCAGCCCATGAATTCTGCCCTTTGAGAGAGGAAACATCACTTAGTGATCTCTCCCTACGCCCCAGGAATGTGTAGATTGGGACACAGTTTAAATCCAAGTTGAAAAGAATCATGAAAACAATAACATTTTGCATGGCTTACTCAGTAGTTCTTTCAAATATGAGTTGTATATTAAGATAGTCCATATAGGAAACCTAAGCTGAGCATCAGGAGAGATGACATAAGGAGATACTTGCCTTACCAATTTGCCAGGGAGGTAAGTTACAATTCTTAGAGACAAGAGAGACCGTCACAGATACATCCAGTCAGCTCTCTGCATCATGGAGTATAAATCAGAGTGTGGTTTATTTGAGTCAGTATAAAATTCACAAATTGTCCATAAGGAAAGAAAACAAAAGAGGACAACAATAAGAACAGACTCAGGGCCCTGGCAAAGTGGGGCAGAGTAGTAATTCATCTGAGTAGCAGGCACATCTCCCCCACGGTGATGTGTGCAGTAGGGCTCATGGTTGGTGGGAGGTACTATTTTAATTGTGTCAGGCTCATCCTAGAAATATTTCTGAGGTATTGGGGCAGTGGGAATAGATTCTGTTACATTGGAACTGTGAGCCACACAATTCTAAACGTTTTTCATGCTATTTCTGTCTCCATGCATTTTCCTTTCCTCCAGATTGCAATCCTGCAAAGGAGCATCGCTGTGGGGATGGGCGCTGCATTGTGGCTGAGTGGGTGTGTGATGGTGACCATGACTGTGTGGACAAATCCGACGAGGTCAATTGCTGTGAGTACTCTGAGGATTCTCATTTTGCTTACTTTCCACTTCTTGTTCAGTGGGTTTTCAAGGTTGAGGACTATACTTAAGGTTCACTCTCTATACACCATTCCAGGGGAAATATTCTTTCTTTCTTACCTATAGAGGTAGCAATCAAGGAGTGTGATGGCAATAGCATTATAGTGTGTGACTTCACACCTCTCTCTCAAACTTAATGTGACTCATCTGCCAAGCAGGCATCTGTTTTCTTTCTCATTGCTCTGGTCTTCTCTATGTATCTGTAGCCTTGCCAAAGGTAATGCTCTTCCCAGAGACCAGTGGCTCTTGTTTCTGCAAACAACATATAAACAGTTTCACTGTTTATATGAAACTTCCCCATAGAAGCCTCCAAACATGTTTTTGGGGCCATTTATGGGAGAACACGGGAAGAACTGCTAGAAAGAAGAGAGTCTGTAATGTTTATACAGACATAGAAATTGCATGACTGTAATGATCATTTTACAGCCTATTGTGTTTCTGGGTGAATGAAAATTTCAGGTAGCTCTTACACTACTAAACCAGGAACAACAAGTTTTTCCCACCTCCCAGAAAATATACTATCCCTAGCAGGCAAAAATAAAAATGATTGAATTATAGCAATTGTATATTAAAGAGAGCACAGTTGACCTGAGTCAGTGTAATGTAATTCATGCATATTCTAACTAGTTTTAAGATTTTTTTTCACCTTTTGCTTTCTAATAAAAGCAGAAAGAGTTGATATACAGCTGCCCCTTGATATCTGTGGGGCATTGGCTCTAGAACCCTGGATGGGTGCCAAAATTTGTGGATGTTTAAGTCCCTTATATAAATGCTTCAACATTTGCATGTAACCTATGTGTGTCCTCCTATATACTTTGAATAATCACTAGATTACTTATAATACCCAATATAATGTAAATGCTATGCAAATAGTTATTATACTATATAGATTTTGTTTAAGGAATAAGTACAAGAACAAAAGTCTCTACATGTTCGGTACAGGACAACTTTTTTTCCCTGAGTGTTTTTAATCTGTGGTTGGTTGAATCTGTGAGTAAGGAATCTAGGGATACCATATATGAAATTCAGTATTTAGCTGGCTTATAACTTGAGGCAAAAACATAAATTTGAATAACAGTTTTAATTTGGGCCTAAGAATATTTTGTAAAATGTTTCATGAACAAAGTTGTGCAGCTTTTCCCTGCCCTGAGTTGAATTCGAAGTAAAGTGTCAACTGAGCCCCCTCCTCAGTGAACCAGTGGAGCAGAGTGGGCTGTATGCAGATGATCTGGGGACAGCAAGGACACAACCCAAGGTTCATGGGTTTCTATTGCCCTAATAGATGGTAGGCATTGACGTTAGAAAAACTACAGGAATCACAAGGCTAATGGCTACTGGATCTTCCCTTCAAATATCAGATGTCATCAACAAGTGTGGAAATAAACTATATTGAAAGTTCCTTCACATATTTCATATTGTTGGTAGTATCACCACTACCATTACTGAAAACAACCCCACACTTCCCAAGAAAAAGTGAATTTTTAGCAAGCGCTCTTTAGAGAAGAAGGCAAAATTCTAGAAAGAAAACTGTGCATTCTAAAAAAAAAAAATCTTGGCATTTAACAAGCCATTGATTGATCCATCTGTGTACATAGACTACTTCGTTTCTTGGTGATGCCTGATAGGTAGGAATCATGTCTGTGATCTGCAGATTGAAGAATGAATGAATAAGGTGAGTGCTGTTCTCGTCTTTCCTAGCCTGTCACAGCCAGGGCCTGGTGGAGTGCAGGAATGGACAGTGTATCCCCAGCTCTTTCCAGTGCGATGGAGACGAGGACTGCAAGGATGGGAGTGATGAGGAGAACTGTGGTGACAGTGAGTGTGTCCCAGGCCCCTGGGACATTTCTTCATTGGTGGATTTTTCCTTGGGAAGGGAGTAAAATATCTGAAAGTTAACTTAGTGTTTAAGAAGGATTTCCACAGAAATCTTTCATTTTGCCTCAGGGATCCCCATTGCCCTGGGCAATCAGGAAACCTTTCTGTGTTAGAGTGACAGAGGCTGAAAGTCATTTCTCAGGGGGAAGGGACGGGGTGAAACAACATGGTCAGATTCAGCTAGCTGTTCAGAGGGAGAGCCATGATAAAGAAGAAGGTTTAGTGTAGAGCATCCAATTAAACGAGATTAGATTCCAATTAGAAAAAAAAAAAACTAGCTCCTGAAATTAAATGGAACAGCTTCCTAAAATAACCACGTTAAGTAGAGGCAGTCTAATGTCTCACATTACCAAGCAATAAACTCAAACACCCTTTAAAAAGAGTGCGATATCCATGTGTGAAACTTGAAAAGAAAGAGTAGATCAAATAAGTTGGTTTTTAAATGTGAACATTTCTGTCAGAAAAGAAAATTCCATACTGATTGTTTTAAGTTTTTGCATATGCAAGCCTCTCAGGACAAAGCTCTTAGGAATATCTCAAAGCTTACCCATCACCACGTTGGCTTATAGGATACAGGAATAGCCTAGGTGTTAGGAATGTGGTTGCTGCAGCCCTGGCTTCAAGCCCTGGCTCTACCACTTACTATCTGGTGGTCTTTGGGCTAGTTACTTCATCCTTCTGTGTCTCAGTTTCTGTGTTTCCATACTCCAAATAGTGATAACTACTTTGTAGGGTTGATGTTTAGTGAGAATGGAGTAAGTGTTGGTCCTTATTGTGTGGTTGCAGCATTTATTGGGCTTTGCATATTCATAATCAGCAAATGAGACTGCACACTGTAGATATACAGATAAGCTAGTTTAATCATAAAGAATATTGGTTATTAGAATAGCTTTAGTGAGGGAGCTTCCAAGGCCTAAAAGGTGAGCTTTGATAACACATGTTTATTACTTGAAAATAATACATAAAGAGAACTTTGTTTTATCAGTTTTAAAATTCAAACAGAAATCCTTTACTAGGCATGAGTTATTGTATGCATATCAACCAAGATCTTACCTTTGGATCAAATTGTTGTTTACATATAATTAAATCATTTCTATGTGATTCTAAATGATCCAAAATAATTTTGGATGCTTCACTATGAAAAAGGCAGGATTTGCAGATTATTTCCTTACATGTGTGAAATGTCAGAAAATCACATTATAAAATGTATAGAAAAAGTCACATTTTAGTACATTTATATTGTTTACTGTAATGGATTCAACTTAAAAAAATGTGCTATCATGCTGCAGTCTGGTTGGGCACAAAATCACGAGCCACTCACAGCCTTGTAGATTCAAACACCCGTTCTTCAATTCCCGAACTCACACTGGCACTCTACACACGTTCTGGGGAAATCCACGTTCTGGGCCAAATCCACTGGGCTCTGCCGGGCTTTTTATCCCAAATACTCTCTGAATCCCAGGAGAACTCAACGGGAGCTCAAGGATCGGTGTGCCTGAGGCAGCAGGATATGCCCTATTCCCAGCAGGGTACACCTTAAACCTGGAACCGTTCTAAACCCAAGGAGCGGGGTACTCCCTAATCCCAGCAGGATACACCCTAAACCTGGATCCGCCCTGGTCCTTGAGCAAGGTCACCTTACATGCAATGTCACTGCAAATGACCTGGGTCATGCCATGTGTCATACCTACTTGACAATGGCCCTCAGCACTATCATAATGCCAATATGGGGGCATCTACTGGGAATTCAGTGGCAAACAAAACTGCTGATAGAGATTACAGACTCCTGGGAGCCATACAGATGCTACAAATAGTTATATAAGTCAGTGTCTAAATGCGAAGTTTGACATGGCCTACACTGGAAAATGTGGTGTGCATGTCCTGGCAGGGGCCCTCATCCAAAGCCTCCCAAGGATGAGATCCTGGAGCTCAGATCTAAAGAACATTGGGTATCCACCAAGAGAAGAGGGACTGGAAAAGCATTTCAGACACACAGCACCAGGTGGCTAAGAGTCCTGAGGTGGGAAGGAGCAAGGCATGTGTAGGGTACAGGGAGAAGGCGACTGTGATCAGAGAGCTGAGGATGGAGGGGCCTTGGACTGCATAAGAGCTGTCATCATGGATTGTAGAATTGTTCTGCTAGATGGCAGGGTGGGGTGGGGGGCAAACAGCCCCCACTACTCACAAGGTCCTATTGAAGAGTTAGGCCTTAAAAACCCTCCAGGCTCTGGCTCTGCCTGCCTGTCTACTCTTCCTCATTTTCCACAGTGGTTGAAGATCCAGTGACTTCATCTTGCACATGTGTAGCTTTTCTGCTTGGAAAACCCTCTTTCCCTCTCATCACAGCGTAGCCCTGTCTACCTAGTAAACTCCTTTGGGAAGCTTCTCCTAGTGCCCTTGTCTGCTTCTGCTGCCCTTTATATAGATCTTTGGTAAAGCAATGGTCATACAGCCATCGTGAAGCTTGGGTTGTGACAGAGGCTGCCATGCTCCTTCACCTTTCAACATGCAGCACCTAGTTTGTCATATACACTTGTCACAGAGTAAGCATTTAATATTTGCTGGAATAATGAATGTGCAATGTCCCAAAATTTGCATAGGAGTTTAAAGCGTATGGAAATTGTTTAGGCTTGCCTTGAGGGGAAAAAAAAAAGTCAACCTGTTAGCTTTAAAAAAATAAACAGTGACATCTCTTTTCTGTATGGCAGTAATATATGACATTGCATAGTAGTGAGCCTGGCAAGGAAAAGGATTCCAGTATAATAAACATTGTCTTAGAATTATAGATAAGATTATAGATACATAACATGATTAATGCTGAAAAGTGCCTTGCAGTGTTTTCCAGATTCCACATGACATTTCTAAAAGTAATTGACCATAATAATGAGGGAGAGATGGAAAGTGAAAGGGCAGTAATTTATTACCTTATCCACTTAATCTACAAATGACCAGGAAATCAACGGGAAGAACAGTTTCCTTTCTACATACCTTAAGGAAAAGCCATTAGGGCAAAGGCTGACATTACTGCTGTCATTCATTTGGAAACAAGAAACCTAAGTCATCTCACTAGGCTGAGGGTGCTCTTCAAGGCCACTGTGATGATGTGGATAACAGCTGCAAAAGACTTACTATGATAGAGCACTCTCATTGTACAGGTGTGGGTTCTCAACTAATACGAGGGAATTTTCCTTAGAGAGGAGACCAGAATTGGGAGTAAATGAGCTTTTCAAGTAATGCCACTGGATATTCAGAATTTCAAGATCTTCATATTGTTTTCTGTCCTTCAAATCACTTGAATTTTATTTTGTAATAAAATACAGACACCCATGTAAAAATAAAACTCTATTTTTTTCCATTAAAAGTAACAACCACCTGTTGTGTTTTTTTTTTCTTATTTTTTTCATTCCTGCAGAATCTTCTTGGAATAGATTATTGTACTTAGTTGCCAGGAAAATGAGTTCAGATAGTACCTGTTTCACATGTGTTCTATATTTTTAGGGAGAAATTGGAAGGAAATTAAAGTTGTGTCATTCCTCGGCTCCACCAGGCATTCTTGACCCTTCAGATCCCAGGGTGAGGAATGCAGAGTCAGTGAAAGCCACTGTGTCTTTCGTTCCTTCACAGGTCAGACTCCATGTCAAGAAGGAGACCAAAGATGCCTCTACAGTTCCTGCCTTGACTCATGTGGTGGAAGCTCTCTGTGTGACCCAGACAGCAGTCTAAGTAACTGCAGTAAGTACAACAGCTGACAGATGCAATCCCGGGGGGGACAGGGCTGCCCCCAGCCTTTTTCTTCTGCATTGACATGAAACTACTGAAATCTGGAATCTCTCCAAGAAAGTATATTTATTTGCTTTTTTCTTCTTATAAAGGTTGTATGTGGTAGCAGAAAGAAACAAAATGGTCTTAATTAACTTAAATCAGAAACAAATGTGTCATTGTGAATGGAGTATAAATCCGCATTGCCTAATATCATTACCGTCACTTTTCAACTTGACATCGACTCCCATATATTATTTCCTTGGCTCCGTAGGCAGGCAGATGTTATCTTTCTTCCTTTTTAAAGCACAGCTTCAAAAATGGAAACTTTAGCCAAGAAGCAAATGGGAAGGACTTCCTTCAAAACAGCCACATAAACTTTGGCAGTCCATCCTTTTTATAAATTTATTCTCACCTTTCCACAAACTTTGGTGACCTCTAATGGTTTTGGAACCATTGTGTTAATTTGTTTCAGTGACAGTGTAATAGTTCCAAATGGCGTAAGCAGGTGGTGCTCTCTAAATGGGTTTCTAGGAGGAGGGATTATTTGGGGGAACACAGAATGGGCAGAAGAAAAGACTGAATGGATTCTCACGGGAGATTTAAATGAATCAAAATCTCCAATGACTGATTTTTTTAGAATTGATTTCTGGCTTCTGGGCCCTGTTTTCTTATTACACTCATTTCCTTCACTTTTGATAATTAAATGTTTGCCTCATCTTCAGCTTGGGCAAGAAGTTGAGAAGCAGTTCAGTCAGCTTTCCTTTGGAAAGACAGAATTTCCTGTTAACACACATCCTCTCAGTTGAGGAAGTCCACAGGCTGATGGGCTCAGGGTCTTGGATCTGCCAAAATTTTCACGTGGCCCCATAGCCGTCAGGGAGTCTCGAGGTGAAACAAGTAGACTGGTAAGGGGCTTGAGGAGGCAGCCAATTAAAAACTCAGAGTGACAGGATTTTTGTTTTCATGAGCACTTACTGACCTACAGAAAGCACAGTCCCAGACCTCCTGACTTCTCACATGTGGGTATGGATTCCTATGTGTTGAGCCAGTTTTCTGTTGTTAATAATGCTATACCATAAACTAAGTAAGTAAGTTATTTTGGCTCAACTTTTTGTCTAAGGCTAGAGGGCCACAACTAATGACCTGATGATTTTCTTGCACAGAGAACTAGAGTGGCCTAGGGCTCAGATGGAGAGAGACAGAAGGTTCTTTATTCTTTTATAAAGCTACTTGTACCTGATCATAGGGCTCAACTCTGATGATCTTATCTACTCTTAATCACCTCCCAGTGGCCTCACTTTTATATGTCATTGTTAAGTTTCTACCATCTGGAGATCAAGCTCCAACATGAGTTTCAGAGGGATAAACCACAGCACACTATGATAGAATAGTAGATATTAATCTAGTCTTTGAGAAGACATACACACACTGCTGTTTTAGTCATATATACACACACACACACACACACACACACACACACACACATACATATATATCTCATTGTTTCATTTTGCTCATCTCCTAATCTGCTGTGGAACTTTTTCAGAATTATTTCTTTACTTCACCTTCAATTTGGGATGAATAATTTTGAGGAGTGACAGTCATCTCAAAGACATGTTTTATTGTCCAAGTTTTGGGGGTTGTTTGACATGAAATGGCACTTACTATTAGACTCAAAAGAGTAGAAAAGAACATTTAGCGTGGTCAAATTTGGTCGGGGTGTAAATGAATGTGTTGCTTCATTTCTCTATGTTTGAAATACTTCAAAATCTAAAATTTAAAAACATTGTCACCTGTCAGAAAAAGAAGTTACCAGAAGGGCAACTAGATATCTCTGGCTCATGCATTTGAACACTATTTATGATGTATATACCATGTTTCAGGACCCCCATGGGCACTGGCTTGCAATGTGAAGGATGTATTTTTGTCTTCCCACCCATACTACAGTGTTTTTCTCTCCATGTTCAAGTACACTGTTTCCTTAGCCCTTGATGCCTCACCAACTCCCTCACTCACCATATATACTCTTGTCATGTGCTCTGCATATAAATTTAGCAAACATTCAAACATGCCCACTTTGAGTGCCAAGCACTGGGCTAGCCCCCTTGGTCTTTCAATCCTTTTCTTATTAAAAACAGTATTTCTAATTGAGAAGCAAGATATTATTTCTTATCTTTTAAAGAGCCTCAGGATGGGATATATTGTGGTCTGGATATGACATATTCCCATTTGGATATGAAGACTCCTCCAAGAGTCATGTGTTGAAAGCTTGATGCCCCTGCAGCAATGTTCAGAGGTGGGCTTTAGGGAAGGGATTGGATCATGAAGGATCTGACCCCATTAGTGGATTAAGAATTTGAAGGTATTATTGGGAACTATAGGATGTGGGACCTAGTTGAAGGAAGCAGGTCACTGGGGACTCTATCTTGTGCCTGGCCTCTTCTACTCTCTCTTTGCTTCTTGGCAGCCATTATTTGAGCAGTTCTCCTCCAACATACTCTTTCGCCATGATGTTTTTGCCTTAGAGCTGTTGGACCAGGGACTGAGACATCTGAAACCATGAGCCCAAATAGATATTTCTTCCTCTAAGTTGTTTTCCTCAGGTATTTGTCACAGCAATGAAAAGCTGACTACTACAAGATCTATGTGCTTGGTTCTATGTAAAGATGGACATAGGTACTTTCCTCTCAGAAAATCCTCCAATTGGTTCTTGCCATCCCATAAAATATTATAAAACTTTCTAGTGGCCCTTGGAGATCTTCTGGCTGGGACCCAGTAATCAGTATTTCTTAAATTGCCCAGGTGACTTCAGTGCAAAAGAAGGCTAAAACGACTATTTTAGAGACCTATTTGTGAGTAGGCTTGCAGGAGTAAGTGACTTCTCTGAAATCAGACATTTAAATGTTTTCATATTTCTACGTGTGTTTTTCAGTAGAGAACATCCATGGCTTTCCTTACATTCCCCAAAGCACCTACATTTAAAAACAGAATCAAACCTGAAAAGCTCATCTCCAATGAGACAATGTACTAATAGGCTTACTTCTCTTTTTTCGTTGTTGTTGTAGATAGACACAATGCTTTTATTCACTCATTTTCGTGTGGTGTTAAGAATTGAACACAGTGCTAGGCAAGCACTCTACCACTAAGCCACAACCCCGGCCTGGATCCTATTCCTCTTAAAGAACAATTTTTAGCAGCCTGTGTTATCCCATCCAGTCACAGCCCAGCATCATTACCATCTTTGTGCCTTGCTAGGAGGCAAAATGCAAACCTGCCCTTGCCTTAGTGGGTAGGAGCAGACTGCTATTTCTCCTTACTCCATCATTTCCCCCTTGTAGTGTGTAACCCAGGCAGGTGTGGAAACCTGGTAAGAAGACCAACTCCTGGGCATGTCTCTCCCCTTCTTTGTGCCATGTTTACCTTGGCCCTGTGAAGTCAGGTATGGCTGTTGTGCCCCCAGGCATCCTCTCAAGTTACCTATGATGCTTTATCCATCTTTTTTAAAAAAATTGTTTTAATTAGTTACACATGACAGTATAATGATCTTGACATATCATACATTTGAATCAGATGGGGTATAATTTCTCATTTTTCTGAGTGTACAGGTTGCAGAATCACATTGATCATGCAGTCACATATACACATACGGCAATAATAATGTCTATTTTATTCTGTTATCCTTCCATTCCCCCCTTCCCCCTCCCATCACTTCTCTCTACCCAATCTGATGTGACACACTTCTTTTTTTTTCTTTTTCCTCACGTCATCATACATGTATTCTGTATAACAATGAGGGTCTCTTTCCATCTTCCGTGCAATTCCCTTCTCCCTCTCTCTCTCTCTCTGTCTCACCTCTCTTCCCTTTTTAGTGATAACCTTCTTCTCATGCTCTTCCTCAGAGGTAGGGTGCTTGCCTAACATGCTCGATGCCCTGGGTTCCATCCTCAGCACCACATTAAAAAAAAATAAAGATATGTGTCCACCTGCTTTATCCATCTTTACTTCCATGTGTTCACTTGTGCATTTTTTTCCCTTCAAGTTGTGAGGCTCTTATTTAATGTGGAGGCAGAGGAAGAATTGAACAGTTTTGCTTTGAATAACTTTCTACCAATCTATAATTCCATGCCCTCTTTTAAAACTCCATTTAGATGGAACAAATAGCTCAGGGGTGTAGCAAAGAAGTCCAACACCATAATGGCTTAGAACTCAGTCCTTGGGAGCAAAGAGTAGAAAGGAAGAATAACCTCTTTATAAAAGCATTCCCAACTCATAAGTGAAAAATAAATAACTGAATTAGAGTACTATCATTTGGCAACATTGTGAGTTAGTGGGTCAAGGTGTGGAGCATCTGTGGCTGCTCATTTCACAAAGAGAGGAAAATCAGGTATGTTGTGGCTTTCCCTGAAAGAACACCACAGCCGAATATATTCTTGCCAAAGGAATGAAACCTGGTGAATCCTCTGGATTTCTTTGCCAGTGTTCAGGAAATCAAGACATGGGAACACATTTAACCTCATCAGGAACATGTGCTCGAACAAATCCAAACTCTGATACTCTCTCCATAGGTCAAATCCCTGCATATTTAAGTTGTGAAATTATAAAGAAAATCAAAGAGATTTTGAGAAATTTTAAGACACTTAAAAGATAAGACAAGTTAATAAAATTAGGCAAGACTAAACTATAGTACCTGGGAGTGGTGCACACTTATGTAATAATACTGTAAAGAAGAAAAAGGAGGTTAATACCGGGAAACTCATTAGCTACCTTGAAGAGAAAGGAGGTTGAGATAAGATGGAGTATGTGGAAGGTGTTTCTGGGGATCTGTCAAATTTTGATTTCTTGATCTAGGTGATTGTTATAAGGATGCTCACCTTATAATAACTCATCAGATCACTAGAAATAACAATCATAAAGAGAGGTTTAGAGTTTGAGGCAAAGATGAATCTTTAATATTATGTATGCATCTGGTTGTTGAAAAGTGGCATATTTTTACATAGAAGATCATCATTTAATACATGATTTCCAGCAACTTCAGAATCATGACAAGAATTTAACTGGATAGTTAACAATTTCATCATTATGTTAAATTTAACAAATCTTGTTTAAAAATTTGCAAGGTGAAATATAATTAGGACTCCACCAAGACTCCATCAGATTTATTTATCTTTCAATAGATATTTATCAAACCTGAACTATGTTCAGGACACTGTACTAGGCACTTCTTCTAACATGCATTGTAAACAGTTCTGTGATTTTTAAACATTCAGGCATTTGTGATGTGATCTCCCTCTAGTGGCTACTTCAAATCAGGCCCGTGAGTGAGTCTAATGCTTCCAATGCAAAAGTTTATGGATACCATAAATCACAGATTCTGGGGTTGATAGGTATCTTGAGAGTTTAACTTGCTTAGCAATCTGTAAAGAATGCTTCATGAAAGGATAAAACACAAGATCCAATCAACCTTACCACACTCAATAAACATCTCTGGTATAATATATTATCATTACTTAATCCTTTTATCTCCCTTGGCTCTGAAACACTTAAAAGTTACATCTTATCCCAAATCAAAAGTAATGCATTCTCCATGTTATCAAAAGAGAGAAAAAAATCCATGTGATATGTTCTATTAATCATGTAAATGAATACACTGATTAAACATTTAAACCTTGATGAGGCAGTTGAGGAGGAAAAGACGTGTTCAAGAAGGAAAAAGAGAAGCTGCATCAGAAATGTGTGTGAATGGTCTTATTTTTGTCAAATTATAGGTATATTAAAGAAAAAAGTAATGAGGGCTGCAGCTTCTGACTTGTGAGATGCTGGTGATAAACAAGGAGACAATAAAGGCAGGCTGAATTATAGGAACAGTATGGTCCTACTTTGGTGAAAGTAACTCCCAGATCTTAAAGTCTCTAATTGTCTGAGTGTATGTGTATGCATGTGTGTATGAGAAGGGCATGCAAGGACCCAAACTGCCTATTGGCTTTGAGGATTGGTGAAGAAGAAGGAGAGTGGGGGAGGTGATGATTGACTCTTTTTTTCTTTTAATGCATTTTGAATGTTTTTATTGTTACAAGGAACAAGTGGTTTTTTAAAAATCTGAAAATGAAATACTTACATGTTACCCCCTTTCTTAGCTTGGATTGATATAACAAATTTCCATAGACTATAGGCAACAAACATTTATACCTCACAGTCCTGGAGGCTGAAGTCTGAGACAAGGTCAGATTCTAGTGAGGCCTCTCTTCTGGGTTGCAGATGATAACCTCTCACCATGTCCGCATGTTGGAGAAAGAGGACAAGAGACTCTGGGGTCCCTTTCATAGGGATACTTCTTCTGTTCATGGAGGCTCTGACCCACCTCCTAATGCCATCATATTGGGAATTAAGATTTCAACACATGTGCTTTGGGGGACACACAGATGTTGAGTCCATAATGCCTTCACCAATCAAAAAAAGGGTTACTAGGAATCAGCCCCACAGTCCCTTGCTCTCCTCCTCTTTCCACCCTATACTCCTCTTCAAGGTAATGCCAGCTTCACAGTGTTGTATCTTTCTCAGAAAACTCTTGTACTTTGTCCCCAGTGTTTTCAATCTGACCCATGTCATGATCCTTATAAAAATAATATCAGTGGAACCCTTGATTCTTTAAATTAAAAAAATCATCCTGGAGCTGTTTTGGCATTTCACCTCAGTCCCTCTTGCTAATCTATTTGCATGCATACCACTTTTTAGTTGAATAATTAAATTCAATTTGAATAATTACTCTTAATAAAACGTGAAGTCTTCAGCCTGCCAGGGATAATTTTACAAAGACACTCCCTTGATTACCTCTCTTGCCTTGGAAAATGTGGCACCTTTGCTGTGAACACTGAGGGGACAGGAAACCTCTCTACTGCATTCCCCCAAACCTGCCTCAAACCATTTATCCTTGAAAGCTTCTTGAGTTACTCTTGCTCTTTGAATCCCTTTGGGCTCATTGTTTTTTTTTTCATAACCACTGTCTTAGTAAGCTTAGGCTGCCATGACAAAATTCCAGAGGCCAGGTGGTGTGAACAACAAACATTCGTGTCTTATAGTTCTGGAGGCTGAAAGTCCAAGATCAAGATACTGGCAGATGTGGTCTCTGGTGAGGGCCTGCTTCCTGGTTTGCAGATGGCAGCCTTCTTGCTTAGATCCTCACTTGATAGAGAGCAACAGTTCTAGTTTCTTCCTCTTCTTATGAGAACACTAATCCCATCATGGTGTTCTACCTTCATTCAGACATCATCTAAACCCAATTGCCTCCCCAGAGGCCCCCCTAATACTGTTACATGGAGGGTTAGGCTTTCAACATGTGAATTTAGACACGAGGGAGACACAAGCATTCAGTCTATGACAAACTATCGTAGCCTGTACACATCACTCTGCAGCTACCAGCACATGTGTCCTTTTTCCTATGAAGTTTGTGGAATTCCTAAATGTTCAGGACATTATTTATCATTATTTTTGTATTTATAGTACCTCAAATCGTTCCTGACACCTTTTACCTCCTGTTGTCTATCCTCCTTTCTGATACTGTACTAGATACTGTCTCTGAGATCAAAAGATAAAGTCTTATTTCTCAAATATCTCAGAATTGCATGGGAGAGGAAGTTAAATACAGAGTAAAGCAGAGTGCAATGCTGTTTGACAGGAACATGCCTAAGATGTTGTGGCACTCAGAAGAGACTCATTCTGGGAGTAGGAGAGGAGGAGTGGTTGGCCAGGAAGGCTTAGAAGAGGTGTTTGTTTTGTGTTTTCCAAGCCAAGGAGGAGTTAGCACAGTGGGGAGGATGGAAGAGGATCATTCCAGACAGCAGATGCCATATGCACATGGTAGCTAGAAGCATGACCCCATCTGAGGGGATGATTGCAGTATGTCAAGGAAGGAATGGAACAAACAGTATGTGCATACACATGCAAATCTTAAAATACCAGTGTCATAGGGGAACAGAGTTCACTGCAGCAGAGGTCTGTTGGTGGTGCAATAGAGATCTGTTTCCATAGGCTGGAAAACTAGGCTGCAGCTGAAGAGTGAAATAACCTTGGGTTCTAAGCTAAAGTGTTGGATTTTTTTTTCCTGGTTGGCAAGAAGAATCCAACACATCTCAGCCTCCTCTTGCCCTGAAAAGTTGTAGCCTTTTATTTACATTTGATGATCAACAATAAAGTACGCAGACAGAAGTTGTCTTAATTGCCTAATCAAACTCATAGATTTTTTTTTTAATGACTGTGAAGATAATGGGGACCGTTCTATTTTAGAAGAAATGAAAAATAAATCAGAAGGTGAACTGGAGTGAATAAAAAGAATCATAGAGTCATATTCAGATGAGTCAAATCAAGGAGAAAAATGAGACACTTTCTAATACGTACGTGCCTGGCTCTGTCCTAGCTACAAAGGCAGAAACCCTCCTTGGTTCACCATGGTGCTTCATTAACTGACTTATTTATTTTTTGATATCTGCAGAAAAAATGTCATATACTACTTGCATTCTTATCTTTACTACTCTAAAGAAAGAGTAAAATAGACTTAAATAAACTTAAATTTGTTAAGTTTAAAGGAGTTGCTTTAACAAGTAAAATCTAAAAACTACTATTTGTATGTGTTTTTTTGTTGTTGTTGTTAGGTCAGTGTGAACCCATTACCCTGGAACTCTGCATGAATTTGCCCTACAACCATACAAATTATCCAAATTATCTTGGCCACCAGACTCAAAAGGAAGCATCTATCAGCTGGGAGTCCTCGCTCTTTCCAGCACTGGTTCAAACGAACTGTTACAAATACCTCATGTTCTTTGCTTGTACCATTTTGGTACCAAAGTGTGATGTGAACACAGGCCAGCGCATCCCCCCCTGCAGGTAATATGATGGGGTCTTCAATAAGTATCCTAATTTTATTTCCAGAAGATCTAACAGAAAGAAGATGTCAAGTTCAGACAAAATAAATATCGATAAAAGTCTCTAGATTTAACAAATGATATATTTAAAAAGTAAAGTAGTAGGAATGGTAAAATGAGTATGTGAGTAAGAATCCATGACTCTAGAGAAGTCAGGGAAGTGAGGAGGTTGTGCACTGCCTTTGATGATAGGTCATGCGCTTGAATGAAAAAAAAATCACACACATTTCATTGGAATGGGTCAAAAAGCATTTTTAAAAACTGTAGTTAGCAGAGAAAGGAGGCATGTGTGTCTCTTTTCTCTGCTAACATTGATGTGTTTAAAATGCTGCATTCTGATAACACTCAAAAATGAGAGATATTACACAGGGAGACAGAACACCAGCCTCACAGCTTGGATGGGGATGGACATCACTGACATTTTTCTGCTTCTCTGAATGAAGTAAAGTAAGGGACAGAAACTGAGAGTGTGGCTTGAACTTTGTGCATGAGTGATTACCTAGAGATCAGAAGTATTTCTCTGGAGTGCACTGTTTGCATTCAAGTTCTAGATCCCTAGCTGGAGTGGAGCCTTAAGGCAAATTCTACAGGCTCTCTGCCTCAGTTCCTTTACCTGGTAAAATACTAAGGTAATGGGTTGGGTTGTTGTGAGATTAAATGAAAATGCATAAACAGAAAGTCCTCTGATGGGTTGTGAGCCCTGTGATGAGATAGCTATGATGATAGCACAGGAGCACAGTTGCTTAGTGAAGGTGTTGTTCGTCCTCCATGCCATGGGTTAGAGATTGTAGTACAAGAATGTGCCCATACAAGATGACTATCACAGTCAGTGCTGTTTCCCATTAAGGGTGACTATGCAGATGTGCTTGCCAAAACATGAGTGGTAACTACACAAACCATATGTTAGGATCAGAAGTCACTTAGAACTTCAAGAAAAAGCAATAATATCAATATAGTAGACAGATGGGAAAACCATAAATTAAATACTGAATACCAAATGGATGACAAAATAAGGCCATCTATGGAGTCAGAACAGGAAACAATAAAATTACAAAATGACTTGGGGTACTTGTTAAATCATACAAAATGAGGAGTGTAAAAATATCAGCTTGTGCAAAAATAATTCTGAAAATTTCCATCAAATTGTCTTTTCAAGTATCACCAATAGAATAGATAACAACTTTATATTGAAAAGCCATTTTTGTAAATCTCATTCTACTTTTGCTAAGTAAGGTCAATGGTGATAGTGAATAATTATTTTTAATAGTACCTCACATAGTCTTTGATTTTTTTTAAAAGGTACATAAAATTTTTTCTAAATGTAACATTCTTTGCTATGAATATAAATCACCTCCATATATAATTTTATAATTTCAGGGTTTGAATTTCAAATTACAATGACTAAGATGAGACTGGTTCTGAGGAATTACTCAGTTAACATTTTGGTGAACTTCTTCTGAATGTTTTTATTCTGTTTCTTAGATTTTACTCATATATCTTTCATCTTCAGTGGCTAGCAGCATAAATTTTATATTTTGATATTTGTTTATAAAATTTTAAATATTATGACAAGAGAATATGCTAAGAAGTTCATGAGCGATACTTAGTTGATGTTGCCAAGACTGTTTATTAATATTAACATTTATCTTTTAAGTCATTTGTCTAAAAAATATTGAACATTATAGTCATGACAGTATGCTAGATACTTGAGGGTCATTATTCTGTCTCTTGTTCACAGTAGTCTTTTGAGTGAGGTGTGAAATGTGAGGATTGCTGCCTATGACTGAGCACCATGCAGGTTATGATGAGAACAGCACTCTCTGGAGTTGTGGTGCTGCATACTCTGTGATTTCCATTTTTTAGAAAAAAAAATTGAAGTGGTAGAGTCAGGGACTATGCAGTTTTCTGTATAAGTTAGGAATCCTATGGTTAACTTAAACTAACAGCAGCAATTGAGATATATACATTTGTTGTAAATCTGAAATAGAACTATTTAGTCCAACAGACAGTTATTGAACACTGTTGAACTTCTCATTGTTGCAAACCAAATATTAGAATGCTGTGGCTTCATTCTCATCCCGAATTCTGAAGCCAAACTAAGTTATGCTTTGCTTGTGTGGACTTACACCTAGATAGGGTTTCTGTGAATCTTCCTCATTTGATTGCTAAACTTTCCCCAGCAGTTTCTGGCAAGACACTGGAATTGATCTTTCTGTAAGATATGTCCTGATTCATCTAAAAAAAAAAAAAAAGGAGAAACTGGTTGAGATTAGTTATACAGATTGGATATCCTTTGTCCAAAATGCTTGAGATCAGAATATTTGCATAAACTTTATTGGTTGAACATCCCTAAAATCTGAAAATCCAGAATCTGAAATGTTCCTATTGGGATTTTGGAGCATTTCAGATTTTAGACTTCTGATTTAGGGATGCTCAACCTGTAGTTTAAAGTTTGATTTTCTTGAGAAGTAAGAATGTATTTAAAAAAAAATAAATCTGCCTAGTGTCTTTCCCGTTATGCCTACTTTTTTCTAACTATGTAATTAATTTTTGAGTAAGGAAGCAAAAACACCTCCCACCCCCCATATCCCCAGAAGGTAAGGAAACCTCCTTTGAGACATGCTGAAACCTAAAGTTAAATATATCCCAGGCATAAATGAGATAACATACACAAAAGCACCCAGCACAGTGCCTCCTGAGTAGCTGGGATTATAGGCATGCACCACTGTGCCTGGCTTATGCACATTCCTAGTGTAACTTTTTCCCTGGGCATGGTGGGGCGCGCCTGTAATCACAGCAGCTCAGAAGGCTGAGGCAGGAGGATTACAAATTCAAAGTCAGCCTCAGCAAAAGCAAGGTGCTAAGCAACTCAGTAAGACTCTGTCTCTAAGTAAAATACAGAATAGGGCTGGGATGTGGCCCAGTGGTTGAGTGCCCCTGAATACAATACCCAGTTACCACCCCCCTCAACACACACACAGTTTCATTTTAACCAACTTGATTTCAACATAGATAAGTTTGGGACAGCTACCAAGTTTTTCAATAAATTGTTGAAACTGAAATAAGGGAGACAAAGCCTTAGGTAAGCCAGAGTGGCCCATGAGGTGTCTCCCTAGCTGGTCATTGGAGGGAGAGACCTCAGAGGATGGGAATGTTGTGTAGACTCTTGGCAGCAGACTACCCAAAGTGGACTCACCTGCTTGGTGTAAAGGAGTGGAGAACTTGTCTTCTTGAAAGACAAAAGAGAGAATGGGAAAGGCCAACTAGAGAAGAAAGTCTGCATCTGGGAAAAATCCTTGTTTCTTTTTTTAAAATGAAATTTCTCTTGGTGAAAGTATGTTGCTGGAACATATTCTATTTGTAGAGCTATTTCTCACTTTAGTTTCCTAAATACCTCTATGTATGTGCATGTCTCTATATTTGCATACATTACTCCATACATATAGACCCAGACTCTCACTTGGTAGAATTACAACCCTTCATACATTCCTAACATCTGTCCCATCTGCCTCTGACATTCTGACTTTCTTGCTGTTTTAGAGTACTGTGTGAACACTCCAAAGAACGCTGTGAGTCTGTTCTTGGGATCGTGGGCTTACAGTGGCCTGAAGACACAGATTGCAATCAATTTCCAGAGGAAAACTCAGACAATCAAACCTGCCTAATGCCTGATGAGGATGTGGAAGGTTAATTTTTAAATTAGTTACAGTGGGGCGTCTACCAGGAAAGCACACATCAGCTACCTTTTGAAGTCTTTCTGTTTTGAGGGGGGTGGTGTTGTTGCTTTTCTATTTAGTAGCGAGTCAAGTGCACAGGACTTGATTTCATTGTTGACTTTGGTGTATATCTGTTAGACATTGTCATCATTTTAAAAATAAATCACTTTAAGAAATAAATATAAACTCAGAGATGAGTTCAAATTTTCAGCTGTTGGCCCTTTTAACCATACTTCACTTGCAGAGCTGATTGTATATGGTTGCTACTTCTGAGCTGGAGTCCTGGCAGTAAAGGTGAACATGAAGCCTTGGTTCCTTCATGCTCAGAGCATTTAGGGGCCTTGGCAATACAGGATCACTAAATGGAGAAGTGTTATTGAGAACCTGTCCACCATGGGGAAATATTGGGATGTGGAGGTGATTTTGACACACTGAAGGCAGCTGAGTGATCATGAGCGCTGATGTCACGTAGTACTTTGGGCTCTGGCCACTGTTAGGTGGTGCATTTAAAAAGATAATTCATCACTGGAAAGCATGGACACGAAGTTGCTGATCCAAAAAGATGACAATAAGAATGAAGGAGAAAGATGCTGATTACCAAACAGAAGAGAACCTAGTAAACCTCAGATGTTTTAGCTTTTGGAGGGCTTTCCTGTCTTCAGTAATAGCTGCTCAGTGACATGCCACATGTAAATAGATCACTTAGCTGAAGTTTTTGGAGTTTCTGTTCGTTGAGAGTAATATTGTTTTTAACAGAATGTTCACCGAGTCACTTTAAATGCCACTCAGGAAGATGTGTTCTGGCTTCCAGAAGATGTGATGGCCAGGCTGATTGTGACGATGACAGCGATGAAGAAAACTGTGGTATGTATGTGAGCTTAGGAAAGGGCTGCGTTGAAGAAAATAACTTTCACGTACAGCATTGAATCATGACTAGGATCAAATGCTAATGTGTCTGCTTCTTTTATTATCAAACAGCAGAGCATAGATTGATGTGTTTTTCCTGTTACCTCTTGATTTTGTCTAAATTACACTTCTATTTATAACCTTAATGGTATATGTGCAAATACTTAGTAAAAGAAGAAACCGTTCACAGATATAAGGAATCATTTTTGTAATTAAATTATAAAGAAGAGGTTATATAGTTTTCTGCCAAAATAATAGTATTTTTGTGTGTATTTCCTAAGTTGCATCTAGATGCATGAAGACAGAGTTGAATCTCCAATGTTCAAATTTAATAGGGGTTCATTTCCATGCCCTCTCTTACTTTGTCTCTGTCAGCAAAGGATAAAACTTTTCTTGTTGTTTCTACCATTGAGCTCCAAAAACACCAATGGAAAGGTGAGAAATGCCAATGGTAATTTGAGTGGAGCTAATTCTTATTTTATTTCCCTGTAAACTTTGGTACTTATAAGCTCAGAATGTGCCAGGGAATAGAAAGCAGGCAGTACTTTTAGTAAACAGTATTCTGGAGTAAAGCGAATGATTGAAGGGCTATCCAAAGACTGGTTGTGTTATGATTATTTAGCTTGTCATGCCCTAGAATAAAATTGACACTTTTTTTATCGAAAGCACATAGGGCAATACATCTTTTGAGATCATTTCATTCTTCTGGCCTTTGAGGTATGAAATATTGCCTTGCTTCCCTAAATGAAATTTCTTCAGACTTTCTTGTTTCACAAAATGTCACGAACAGTCAATAGAAATCCTAACGGCTACCATAAATATGGACAAGTATATCTTCTAGCAAATTACAGCTGTCAGAATGACAGTGCAACAGCCAGGGCTAATTTTTACTATGGAGGAACATATAGTATTTTGATAACTTACTGTGTTTCCTTGTTGTGTCTTTCTTTAAAAAATAAATCAAAATTATTTTAATATCATTTATATGCATTTATTGAGAATGCATTAAATTTGTTTGCTTAAAATGACTTTGATGAGTTATCCTATGCTGAGATGCACTTCAACTTTTCAGCAGGGAAACTAAATATTTGAGAAATGCAAAAGCTGTTTTTTTTTTTTTTTTGCATTTCTTGGCAGATAGCTTTGACATGACTAAAAAGTCTGCATTCTGGAATATGTTATACAAAAAGAACTATAGTATAGGATAGGTTTAATTGACCCTAAACTATCAGGTTTCTAGATAATAGTAAGTTTTCATCAATACTTTAATCAAATAGTTAAAGATATACCAAAATTCTAGAATAGGCTGATCTCTATTAAATATTCAAAATACTATGGAGAGCTAGTCAAGAAAAAAAATAAGATAGGTAAGAAATTAACACATTGGTGTTAAATTAATTGTTGTAAATGTACCAATTTAAGAGAAAATTCTCAGTTAATATTTCAAAGCAACTTACAGTAGATATTTTATGTGCCCCTTTGGGACATATGCATGCCCTTACATGGACTTGCAGCAGGTTGGGAAGATAAACAACTTACAATTAATAAGGAAATTGGATTGACAGAGACCCAAAAGAGGACTATTAGCAAGTCACTCAGTTCCCCTTTTCTGTTTGTTTTCAGGTGTGCATAGGAATACCATTTTGTAATGCAGACACCAGCCCCAGAGAAACTGGAAAACGGGGTTACATATCAAATTCACATTTTTCTGATTCATTCTACCAATTGGGGTATTGAAGGCAGTTAAATGCTAAAGCTTTCCTGAGTAATATGATGTTTAACTCTTCATGAATTTACAGCTTTCTCCCAAATTCTAACAACATTATTAAATTTTCCCCTTGAAACAATACTTATTTAATTCAATTATAAAATATTCAATGTGCTAGAAATTAATTTTACTTTGTATTTCTTTAGCACTTCTCTAGCTCCTAATCTATGGTGGTGTTATGGTAAGAATTGAATTTTCAAAAAAAAAAACAAACAAACAGATTTTTTTTCTCAAAGCTGATTCAAAGAAACCCAAATCAATCATCTACAATTTTCCCCCATTTATTTGTACAAAGTCAGATGACAATAACATTTTGGAAGAGATTCCTTATTTGATCACTACTTTGTATTCCACTCACCTTTAAATAAGTTATAATTTCCTGGGAGCTACAGTCTTGGTGTTCACTACATAAATTCCACTTACAAATGTGTTGAGGGCCTAACACATGCTAGCTGCCATTCAGGTAGGAGCATGAAGGGTGCTTTAAAGCTAAGTGCTGTGCTATCTCTTCCTTCATGCCCCTCACAACCAGGTGAGGACCATGAATCTGACTGGAGTGACAAACACATTAGACACTTGGCGTGTTTCAGCAAACATGAAATGCACTTCATTTGAGTCAAATGGCATTTAGGAAGCCCATCATGAATGCTTTTTATTGCATGTGCAAATTGCAGCTCAAGTTAGGGACGTAGAGCTTTGATCTTGTCCAATCATGTTCTTTTCTCATATTGATTGATAAAGTTTCCAACCTTAGATCTCTGACTTCCGTAAAGTATTTCCTTTTGCACCTGGCTCTTAAAACTAGTTTTGTAGATATTTAGCATGGGGAGAAAGTGTTTTGCTAAATTTACAGATATCCTCTCAAATTGTAAAGTGAAATTACATTTAAAGATCACATGCATTTGTATCTCTAGGCTTTGGCATACTTGCTTTAAAGCACAACTCGTCATTTTTTTTTTTTTTGTAGAGAAGTCTTATGTGTTGGCAAATTGATTCAGAAAGCAAAAGGAGCAGCTACATGTGAATGTGAATGAGTAGTTGCTTTTTCATTTTTTTCCTCGTTTCCCATATGCTGATTTTGTTCTACTGTTAGGAGAGTTTTATGGTGCAGGATAAGGACTATTGGGTGCTTCTACTCTCAAAATTATGATTTTCATGGTATACATAGGTGTCAAAACTTTTTAAGAAGAAAGAAAATATGATTGTGTTTTTAATTTTTCTACATTGCTTGATCAAATTCATCCTCATTTTCAACTGTACATCTATTGCAACTAACCTTTTTTCTGTCTCCAGGTTGTAAAGAGAGAGATCTTTGGGAATGTCCATCCAATAAACAGTGTTTGAAACACACAGTGGTCTGCGATGGTTTTCCAGACTGCCCTGATGACATGGATGAAAAAAACTGCTGTAGGTGCTAACAGGAATTTGTCAACACAATGTTTTTATTGTAAACACAAGTCATTTTACTTTGAATACAAATTAGAAATTTGGAGAAATGTATCAAAATCTTTTAGCTTATTTAAATCATACATGCCAAGAGGAAATCAAACATGTAAAATGTAGACACATGTTATTATTCTAACATTATTTGTAAAATTATGGAAAAATTAATAACCACTGAAATATCTAAAAATAGGTGATATAAAATAAAAACATGTAATGAAATAATGGACAAACATTAAAATCAAATTAGAGAGGAATAGTTTCTGCTGGGTTCATTTCATAACTTTAGTTGATGTGCATTGGTAAGCTTTCTGTTACTGTCACAAAATATCTGATATAATCAACTTAAAAAGAAGAAAGGTTTATTTGGGCCCAGAGTTTTGGAGGTTACTACAGTCCATGATTGGGTAGACTCATTGTTTCTTGGAGCTGTGGTGAGGCAGCATTTCATGTCAGATAGCATGAGCAAGGAAGATCTGTTTGGCTCATGATGGTGTGAAAAGAGAGGAAAAGAAAGGAATTGGGATCCTAATGTATTTTTCATGGGCATACTCCCAGTAACTAGAAGATATTCCACTAGACTTCACCTCTTAATTGTTCCATCATTTCCTTCTAGTGCAACAGGCTGTGAACCAAACCATCCACAAAAAGGCCTTTAGAGGATATTTATAGTAGTTGAATGAAACAAAAGCTTCAATATTATGTGAATTGTTGCCCTGAATTTTGAAAGAACATAGGCTGACATATGGGAAATGATTAGAAGGTCATGAAAATTGACAATTATAATCCCTGAGTGGTGAGGTTATTAAATTTTTGTGTTTTAAAATTTTTGTTTTAATATCTGAATGAATAAACATCACTTTCAGAACCAGAAAAATTATCTTTTAAGATATTTTACTAACAAGTTACAGAAAGCCCAATTCACACGGACAATGAAAATATTTATAATCTTTTATTATCATATGTATTAAATATGTCTTCTTATCATGTAAAAGTGAAGTGTAGGGTAAATTCTTGAGACCCTGTGTGGGAGTTCAGCACTTTGTGATTCTCAGGATGGCTAGTGAACATCCACAAAAGCCTGGGGTGCCCAACTCCCTTGGTCATATTCAGTAGGAAGGAAATAGAATTTTGCTCTTATCTCTGGAATATCACTAAAGGATTCACTCAGGTCAGCTTTGGTCAGGGTCACCACTAACAGTTGGGCACCTTTGTGTAGATGAGAAAAGACTTGTTCTGCAAACAGCCGAATTCCAAAAAGGAGCTCCAAGCAGGGGAACTAATCAGAAGAAGATGTTGTTTCCTCAGGCTACCTCTGTCCCAGTCTGGGGCACAAAGCCCAGTCAGCAGGGTTTGGGCAGAAGCTGTCTTGCAAAGCATAACCCACAAAACCGTAAGCCAAGGCCTTTGTTTGGGATCATATTTGGAGTATTAGTTGTACTTAGAAAACAAAAATTGAATTCAGAAAAATGCCATGCCCACCTTAAACTAATCAGGATCCATCAGCTGGGGATGATGGATGTGGAGCCCTGAATAAAATCAGGTTTTCTTAGAAAAAGAAGAAAGGAAATGGACGCTAAGTAGGAAACCAAGGTGATTTATTATAATATTAACCCCTCACCCCCCAAAATTATGTGTGACTGAGAGAGTAATTTAATAGTAGTTTTTTTTTTTTTTAAGAAAAACAAACATGTCCATTTATGTGAACAGAGCTTGTTTCCTTCCTGTGGTGGGTTTAGTCTGCTCATCTCTCTTGCTCTGTTCTTTAATCCTTGGTCTTACTGTTGCTACAGGTACCTTCCCCCTCACCCCCCAGTCTGATTCTTACAACTGGAGAATCTAGGTACTTGGAGACAGTGATTCTGCTGAATTGCTGTTTGGATGAGTTCACACCTATTCCCTGAGATTCCACAAGTTCTGTTATTCTGCCTCAGTACCTGTTGGAAGGCTCCAGTGAGCACATATTCTTTTCCTGCCACGTTCCTCCTGGCAAATGAGTATGTGCGTGTTAGTGACAGTCACATTTATTTCCAAAATGTTTCAGTCTTCTCACATCTTGTCTCCCCGACCCCCACCAGCATTTTGCCAAGATGATGAACTGGAATGTGCCAACCATGAGTGCGTGTCCCGTGACCTGTGGTGTGACGGAGGAGCAGACTGCTCGGACAGTTCAGATGAATGGGACTGTGGTAAGCTGCTTGTTTTGGCCAGCTGTTGGACACTCTTGTGCCTGTCAACCATTTCAGCTAAATGAATCCTAAATTACTTCATGGGTTTTACTAACCAAGTTCATCTATTTTGTTTTACTGTTATAAAAGCTGACAGTGGTGATGCATGGATGTTATTTCCAAGTCACGGAAAGTTTCTGTCCAAATTACTCCTATTTGAAATGTCTATATTGCATGAGAAAACTTTGGGGTTCAAATTTTTGTAACCATATACTTCCTAGAAGAGATTTTTTTTAAAGCTTTTGTTGTCACTCAGCTTTAATAATGATAGTCTCTCATTCTTGAATGATTTATACTTAATAATGATAAATTTATACATCTCAGAACAGGGTATTATAGTGGTCTCTCCATCTGCTCTGTGTTCTTGCTCCACATCTGAATGGGACTTGCATCTAGTTCCTTACTAGCTAGGATTAAAGGCATTTCCTACCAGTACCACCAATGTGGCATTTCATAATCTTGAGTTATCTGATTAATTCCTTCATTCCACATCCATCTCTCCTTCCATTTACCTGGCTCTCATTTGTGATTTGGTTCAATCACAACTCTCATGTGTGTGGTGATCAGTTGCACAGTGTCACAAAATGATCTGTGGCTCATTAAGCACAGAGGCTGCTCTTTTACAATACAGGAATTACTGCATACATGTTAGTCCTCAATTAGCATCACCTTCACACATTTGCAATCTCATGTGCTTTCTCCTAAGGAAATGGTGTAAAGAGTTACAATTAGCTTCTTATAATGAATATGCAAATCCGTGGGCAAATTCAAGGTAGTGGGCTGGGTCATGTCTCTGGCCATCTTCTAACTCATGAAGGAAAAGTCAAGAACTGCCTCCCTATTTCATTAAAGTCTTCAGTTCTGATGCATTCGTTTTTAGTTTTCATCACACTGAAATCAGTCATGTGCACATGGAGGATACTTAACAAATGGTTCTTTACCGAAATAAATAAGAATGAATGTATGCAATTGAATCAAAGACATACAAAGTTATCACTTGGTTTCACAAAAAGAAATGTTTTTAATTAGCATTTCCTGTCTTTCCCCCCCCACCACCAGTGACCCTCTCTAAAAATGTCAACTCGTCATTCCTGACTGTCCACAGATCTGCAGTGGAATACCACGTGTGTGCAGATGGCTGGCAGGAGACCCTGAGTCAGCTGGCCTGCAGGCAGATGGGTTTAGGGTAAGGTCAGTAGTTTGTAGCACTGATGAATTTCTCAGAGGGTCTTGTGGAACTTGACAGTAATATTTTCTTCTGCTGCAGAGTGAGTTAGTGCTCTCAAAGAGCTCTCAAAGCCGGGGAAATGAATCAGGTGAGAGGACCTTCTCTAATTACAGGCACCTGCTCTGAAGAGTGTGGGCTGAGAACTTATTTTGATGAAGCTTCTAAAAGTAAATGAAGTAATTGTATTCTAAGTACTCCTGAAATGAAATACTTTTGTCATTTATAAAGGCATTAAGATGGTTTCCTTTGTGGAATGGGATGGAAAAAATCTTGCAATTTCCCCCCAAGAGGTTATTGAAAATTCCTTTTTAAGCGACACAGATTTTTTTAATAAGTTGAGAAACAGAACTTGAAGTTCCTGGTATTTCTATTTGCTTTAAGTAATATAGGAAATGTAAATTATAAAGTAATTCATCATTTCTTCTTTTTAGCAGAATGAAAAGACACTCTAGGACAATTTGATACACTGAAATAGATAATTTGAAAGTTAGAGACTTACTATTTTGTGAAGTTTTCTTTTTCAGTTCCATTGAAGAAAAAATCAATAACTTGTGATGTCTTAGGAAATATATGTGAATGTGTGTGCATGTATCTATGCCTGTATGTATATGTAGATACATTTATACACATACATGTATACATGTAATATATTTCTTTTACTACTAAAATATGTGAGATTTTGGAGAAATATAGAAAGGAGAAAATAGAGGATAAAGGCCTTATAAAATTCTAGAATAAGTGGGGCATGGTGGCGCATACCTGTAATCCTAGAGATTCAGGAGGCTGAGGCTGGAGGATCACAGGTTCAAAGTCACTCAGCAACTTAGTGAGGCCCCATGCAACTTAATGAGTCTCTGTCTCAATAAAAAGGGCTGAGGATGCAGCTCAGTGATGAAGCACTTTGGGTTCAATTGCTGGTACCAGAAAAAAAAAATCTAGAATAAAAAACTAAGCAGAGGACATTTCCCAGGATCCAGTGAGCAAACCTGGAACATTTTTACAACAATGAGCCATTCAATTATGAGATGGCAACTAGCAGCACATTTTGTTATCCTAGCTTGAAGAATTATGTAACTCCCAGCATCTTGTTTCTATTTCTCCACTGTAAAGACCCATATCATTAGAAAATTGAGTAACTGTAGATAATCTATGCAAATACAAAAAGCTTTAAATTTTGCCAGGCTGGGAAACTTGAATTTTTCAAGATCTATTGAATTAAACTCCATTTTTTACAACTTTCTGATTGTGTCTACTTGAAATGGGATATGATTGTAACTAGAGGTAAATGAAAAGCCTTTTGAACATGCTAATTTTGATCTTTCCTCCAATACCCAAGATATTTCTTAATGTACAAATTTGATTACATAACTATAGTAACCTTATTGAGAATTCTGAGGCAAAGTCAGAACTACAAAGATTTTACAACTAGAAAGTTCTTTTCATCAAGCTATTCCAAATGTAACTCATCTATTGCAAATACAAGGGATTCTGTTTTATATACCCTACTCTTCATTTCTTTTATTTTTTTATATGGGATTTTTTTTTATTGTGGTAAAATACATATAACATGAAATTCCCAAAACAGTGGATGTGTAACCGATGTGATTCTGCAATCTGTATACGGGGTAAAAATGGGAGTTCATAACCCACTTGAATCAAATGTATGAAATATGATATGTCAAGAGCTTTGTAATGTTTTGAACAACCAATAATAAAAATTAAAAAAAATAAAAAATAAAATTACAGAATAAAGTATACATGCTACAAGCCTTTAAAAAAAAGAAATTCCCCATTTTAGCCACTTTAAAGTTTTCAGCTCAGTGACACTTAATATATTTACAATGTTGTACACCCACCACAGCTATCTAGTTCTAGAATGTTTTCATCAACTCCAAAAAAAATGATAAAACCATTAGACATCACTCCCAATTTTACCCTATTCCAGGTCCAGGTAACTATTAATCTGCTTTCTGTCTCTACAGATCTACCTGTTCTGACCATTTCAATATAAAGAAAGCATACAATATGTAATCCTTTTGTCTGGATAATGTTTTCAAGCATCTTTTTTTATAGTGTGTATTAATATTTCATTCTTGTTTATAACTGAATAATATTTCATTGAATAGATATACCACATTTATTTATCCATTCAGATATTTGGGTTGTTTCCACTTTTGCTCTTGTACAAATATTGGATTTAAAAAACACTTTTTCCTTTTGCTCCATTTTCTTAACAGAGCAGGAAAATGAAATTTTGAAATTAGATATCTTAGATATTTCAAATCTATATTGACATGATATTTTCATTTTAGGTAAGTTTATTTCACTGAAGGGCTAGGAAAATGAGATGGAAATGTAGATGATAAACCATACTTACCATTTGCTTGGATTAATAGGTAAATGAAGTAGTGTCAACTCTTCTTCCCAGGAAATAAGCACTAGAGCTATTGTACTATTTGATTGCTTTCAAGTTTACTCTTCAGTTTACTTGAGTGGCTCATACATTAACAAGGGCTAGACTGGGACAGGAATGAAGAGAATGGACAAGATGAGGCCAAATTCCTGCTAAGGAAATGGTTGACTTTGGAAGCTGCACTTTACAACAGTCTCTGGAGACTAGCTGCTGTGCTGCAGATTCACAATTCTGCCACTAATAGCACAAAAGAATTTTAAGTAACCTTGAACCATGTGCAATACCCTTGATAGAAGGGGGTTATCTGGCCATGCTTGGCCCACACTTCATCTGCCAACCTGGAGGAGAGGGAATGACTCACCTTCTAGTCTCTGGGGTGTAGTGTCATGCCACTGGTCTACCTTTATGCTTTCAAACATAATCTGTATCAAAAACTTGAAGTTAAATAATGCAACCCCCAATTAATTCTACTCAGTATCCTCCCATTTGTTTTTTTTTTTTTTTTTTTTTTGAGGATCTGCTTATGGGCCCTGTACTGGGCTAGGTATTTTTTGGAAGATGCATAGGTTTTTAATGTAATAGGGAAGACACACAGGGAAACAACTGTGAACATAAAAGTTAGAAAAAGTTCCAGATCTTTTGTTTTCTTTTTTGTTATCTGCAAATAGCAGAGTTTATGGCATTCCTATTAAAATTATATAAGAGAAACATTCTACTCTAATCTTATCTTTGGAGGGGGGCAGGACGCTGGGGACTGAACTCAAGGCCACTCGGCCACTGAGCCACATCCCCAGTCCTATTTTGTATTTTATTAGAGACAGGGTTTCACTGAGTTACTTACGCCTTGTTTTGCACCTGGGTCTCACTGAGTTACTTATGCCTGCCTCCTGCCTTAGCCTCATGAGCTACTGGGATTACAGGTGTCTGCTGCCATGCCTAGCTTTTATCTTGATAGTAAAAATTCATTCACTCATTCATTCATTCAGCATGTGTAAGAACATCATTGTGGTGTAGTGTCTGTCCAACATTCTCTATCTCCAAGTGAGCGATTTATCTTCTTGAGTTTGTACTTTATAGAACTAGTTCATCAAGAATTCAGGTCTACATCAAATTACATTGCAGGGATTCTATTGATATACTTCCATAGTAGAGGCAGTTGACTAAAAGACCTGCACTTAGCAATAATAAAAACATTAAAAAAAGACTTATGCTTAGGATTTTCAGACACAAGTTATGCCTTCCACGTCTTAGAGTGCAAACGGTAGGCTCTCAAATGTTTGTCTAAATGAGAAGATTCGGTTTTCTTTGATGAATTTGAAATACTTTTTATTCTCATCTGAAGATTTTTCAAAAGTTCACTCCAGGATGGAAGAGTTCACTCTTTGTCTGCTTAGACAAAGGAATAAGTCAACCCCCCTAAATACTCTTGACAGTATATTGACTTTGCTACCTGCATGTCCTATATCAAAAACATATGGACATTTATTTAATCAACAGTACAATTCAGGATTTGGACTTCCTTCTAATATTTGCCAAATGCTCAGCTGAGACATCTGGTATCTGCGGAAGTTAGTGTAAGGGAATGCAACTCTCCACGTCTCTTGGCTTCTTAAGTTCTGTCTGTAGAGTGAGATCATCTGGAAACTGTGTGTCTGGGCTCTACTATTTTGGCAAAAATTCCCTTATGGAGTTGACTATAATTTGATTTTGTGCTCTAATCCTTCAGAGTTGGTCAATGGAATAAGAATCCTTTCAAAGAATGTTTCTGTATCTTGTAAAACCAAAGTCAAGACAGCATATATTACATCACCTAATAGTCCCTAATAATCTCTGATATTAGTTAGCATTTACATTGTAATTTCCTCCAACAGTTTACTTCAGGAAAAAGTTTCTAACTTTGCATTACTTTTGTCATGTAAGAACTATTTTTCCCAGGATATATTTCTTAGTAATTGACTTCCGTGAAACTTAAAGATAGATCCAATTCTCTGTATTAGTAAATCCAACCCAGGCTGCTGGTCCTGTACATAGAGAAGCAGCTTAAAATCTTGTTATGATCTTTTAAAAATTGAAATATAATTCATATACCATAAATTGACCCTTTAAAAGTACAAATTCAACTGTTTTTACTCTATTCGCAGGTAGTCATCAACACTAATTTCAAAACATTTTAATCCCTCTAAAAAGAAACCCAGTGACCCTCAGCAATCACTTCTCATTTCTCCCTCCTCTCAGCTCCTGACAACTAATAATCTACTCTCTGCCTCTGTGGATTTTCCTCTAGTGTACATTTTATATAAATGGAATCAACAATATGCACCTTTTGTGTCTGGCTTTTTTCACTTAGCGTAACTTTGTTTGAAAGTTCATTCAAATTGTAGCAAGTGTCAATACTTCATTCCTGTTTAAGGTTAAATAATATTCCATTTTATGGATAAAACCACATTTTGATTATCTGTTCAACAATTGATGGGCATTTGGGCTGCTGCCAATTTTGAATATTATTTATAATGCTACTATGAGCATTCATGGGCAGTGTTTATAG